TTTTTTTTTTTTTTTTTTTTTTTTTGTAATTTTGAGTGAAATGAATGAATGTAGTCACCAATTGAGCCATGGAAGCCATAAAGTGAGGACAGTTGGTGCTGAAAATGTTATCCTCTTAGATGGTGTTTACAAATAATAGCAACTGATAGAGTAAAGGAAATAGAGGGAAGAAGACGAGATCTAAAACAACAAGGCTGTGTCAGGTTGAGAGAATTGCATTAGTATTTGGGAGCCTGCACTATTGTTTTTGATTGGCACCTGTGTTGTTCAAACCCTTTCCCAACAATTGCCTTACGGGATCTTGCAACACGTCTGGAGGCTGTTGAGTATCATGGTGAGGAAACCTGACCCAGAATGGCGTAGTGAGTTGACCGGAGTCAAACAGCCAGTTCAGCAGCACGTTCCTGTCAGGAGCGACAGATGCTACCCTTCATTGAGTCTGTGTGGTCCTGTGTGTTCACAGTGTCAGGGCTGTGGTGCTGATGGGTGAATGACCCCCCCCCCCCATATTGGTGGATTTCACCTTATTAGGTTCCAGTATCCCTGGAGCTGTGGGCTGGAAGCATGGCTTATTGGTTGGCCTCCCCTCCAGTTCCTCTCCTAGGAATGATCTTTGCCTGCTCCTGCTTACTAGATAGGCCCTAATTCTAAGCTGCAGTCCTCTTGGCCTCAGCTGATTGGAACAAGGTGGGCTCCTCACTCAAGGGCAGCCAATCCCGGAGTGATTCACGAGTTTGTGACTTCGTGGTTCTCTAGAAAGGAGTCTCTGTGCTATCAAATGGCTCCTGGGAAAATTAAACCTAGAGGCAGAGTGAGAATCAGAACAAAAAGGGGCAGAGTTAAATGGGCTCGCAGGAGAGAAACTGGGTGACTGTAGCGTACCCTGCAAATAATACCCAAACAGGCAGCGGAAACTGGGTGAAGAGCAGAGGACCTTGCCTTGCCCTCCTTCCCAAGTTTTCTGTTCTGAATTCCCAGTGGAGTGTTAAACCATTTCACCTCCTTTGAAGTGACTTGAATGGATTTCTGTTCCCTGACTTCAGGTTGGCCAGATGCACAACTGCTGTGCTCTTGTAAGTTGTTTACAACCAAACCGGAAAGAAAAACCTTAAATAAAGCAGGCAGCAAATTATCGTAGTGGGCAGGTTGTTAACTGAACTAACTGTGGGTGGTGGTGGCATAGGTCCTGTTTACATGTAGGGCTTTAATTTGTGTTTATTAATGAGCAAGAGAGTAGGGCTGACTGCAGAGCCCTCTTGTGGTGCCAGCTTTGCGTATGGAGAATCACAAGGGGATCATGTTAAATACAGATTCTCATATAGGAGCTCCAGGGGTGTGAAGAACCATTATATTTATGACAAGCTCAAAGGTCGGGCTGAACACTGCTGACCTGTAGATAGCAATCTCTAAAGGGCATTGAAACTATTCCAGAACTAGAAAGTGGCGAAGGTAATAAGAGTGGCTTGAAAGAGATGCTGTAAATGGGCATGGCTTAGATTCAACTTCAGGAACATGGCTGCAGGTAGAGGAAGTCTGGAAGGAGGGTGTAAGTTCAGACAGGCGGAGTATGGCTGGATCAAAGCATTGTGAATACCAAGTGAGTCATTTGGCTATAGAATTGAATATTTGGACAAGGTCTTAGAGTTTGCCTAATCTAATCTCTCATTTTAGCCTGACACTAATATACAGTTCCCGAAGGGCCTGGTGTGGTGCCAAATCCTTGTCACAAAGTGGTACCCCAAAGAACCATGTTAGTTCAGTCAAGAAGTATGCTGAAGTTTGATGGGCAGTCTTCCTTGAAAAGGTAACATGAGGGAGGTCTGCTGTAGATCTGACTAGAGAGTGTTGCAGGTGGAGGGGACGGTCTGGACAGAGGCCTCAAGGCAGGGGAGTCTGGGATGTTATAGGAACACACCCAGGCTGAACTCTACAGTGAGTGAAGGGTGGGAGACAGACAGATGACAGACACACACACACACACACACACACACACAAATGTTTTGTTTGTTTTCTGAAAAGAGAGTATCCAATCTGCAGGGCTTTTTAATTTAATTTTAATTTCCATGTTTATAAGATCCCAGTGCATGAAGATGCAGCTTCTGAGACTGGACCCTGGAGAGCCTGGAACGGGCAGGCACAGTGGCTGCCTATGTGCCTCCTGAGGTTCTGGTGCAGAATCCATTCTAATGAACTCTTCCTTACAGTCTTGAGCCTGACTAGTAGAGAAGAACCTATCATATCGGCCAAAGATGCTTAGTACAATAAGAGAATAATTCAAATTTTATAATCATAACACATACAAGTTGACTGTTTCTGCTGAATGCTATTGTTCACGCTTATAATCTAAACACTTGGAAGACTGAGGCAGGAGGACTGCTGAGTCATCAAGGTCAGCCCAGGCTAGAGAGTGAGTTCTAGACTAGCCTGGGCTACAGCACTAAAGAAAAGAAACAGAACTGACATGTTTTAAAGATCCTTAGAAATAATGAAATCAGGTACACGGAAATAAATCCAACTTGGGATGTTTCAGTTCAAAGGCAATATTGAAACACTCATAGTTAGATATTTTCCAGAAAACAAGAACAGATGAAACAGAAGGTTAAATACTTTCAGGTTTCTTTACTGCTATCCCAGCTAAACCAAATGGGTATTGGAACACAGTTTTCATCATCACAGACTGAAATACTGATGGCTCACATAGAATACTGATGTGGGATTCCCCTCTGTATGTGATGAATATGTTTTATTACCATTAGTTAATAAAAAAAGCTGCTTTGGCCTATGGCAGGGCAGAATAGAAAACTAAGCTGAATGCTGGGAGAAAGAAGGCAGAATCAGGCAGATACCATCAAGCTGTTGAAGGAGAAAGACACTGGAACCTTACCAGTAGGCCACAGCCTCATGGTGATACATAGATTAATACAAATGGGCTAATCTGCCAGGCGGTGGTGGCGCACGCCTTTAATCCCAGCACTTGGGAGGCAGAGGCAGGCAGATCTCTGTGAGTTTGAGGCCAGCCTTGTCTACAAGAGCTAGTTCCAGGACAGCCTCCAAAGCCACAAAGAAACCTTGTCTCGAAAATCCAAAANAACAATATTGTGATTAATATAGGTTTTGTGTGATTATTCAGGCCTGGGCAGCCTGGAAATGAACGCACAGTCCTCAGTGTACATAATGGTATCCAAAACTTGGCAAGGAGATGGGGGGCCCTGGGAGGAGAGAAGGAAGAGGAAACTGTGGATGAGAGGTAATATATGACAGAAGAATAAAAGACACCAAACCAAAATGAAAGAAACCTTGTCTCAAAAAAAAAAAAAAAACAGACAAAGAAACAAAAAACAAATGGGCTAATCTAAGATGTAAGAGCTAGTTAGAAATATGCCTGAGCCATTGGCCAAACAGTGTTGTGACTAATATAGGTTTTGTGTGATTATTCAGGTCTGGGTGACCAGGAACCAAAGTGCAGTCTCCTTTACAGAATACCATTTTCCTCTCTCAAAAGCTAGTGTGGAAGAAGCCAGTCAAGGTCAGCCATGCCTGCCACATAAAGTCCTACAAGATATTGACTCCGTAGGCCTTTCTACTTTATCATCCTGTGTTGGGACCAGCTTTGACAGGTA